AATTGGTATTGTATTTATATTCTTTGTTGTAACTATTATATCTATCAGTGTGTGCTAGTAAAATTTTTAGCCTTTGATTATTTAGCCCCCCTTATCCCATTCCTGGATCCGCCACTAGCTTCAGCCTTCAGTTGTTTAAACAAGCTCACAAAAACATCCATTATTACCAACATAAACTCAACCAACAAATGGCAAACTAAGCACTAAATTTATTTGAAGACATACACCCATATTTGCCAAAGATTTCCCTTTGTTTTTGTCTCCAACATAGGACAAAGCCCATTTCATAAAACCAGTGGCGTAGCCAGGATTTGTAGCTATGGTGGTCCATTGTCTAAATTTTTTTAACCGCTATAAATTTAACTTGTCAGTACACAAGTATATGAATTACAAAATACAATTAAGGGAAAATACATATAGAGTTCATAAAATAGACGAGTACAGCTTTCTTAACGTAGAATTGATCGAAATATTACATACCTATAATAGTTGAAGAAGAATATGTCACTACTTCTTCTTCTTCTTGTCAGGCCTTCGCCTTCTAATAGCCATGAAAGTGTTGATGATCTCTTCTTCACTCAATTGTAAGAAGATATCCCGCTCAATAAAAGTCACTAGACAATCATCGAGAAGGCTATCACCCATCTTATTTCTCAACTTATTCTTGATAAAGGTCATTGCAGAAAATATTCTTTCAACACTTGCAGTAGCCACCGGTAGAAGCAATACCAATTTGATAAGTAAATAGACCCAATGATAAACTTTATCCCTCTTTGTTTCAACAAGTTTTACTGAGAGGTCAGCAAGATTGTTTAGGCCTTTGAACATTTCATCTTTCCTCATGTCATCAATAAAAGTTTCAAGTTGCAGATCAAGTCTTAGCAAGTCAGAGCTTGAAAAATCATTAGGGTAAAATTTAGCAAGTCTATGTACCTTGTTTGCATCAAAAGAAGCAAAGGAATCTGCTGGATTCAAAGCAGCCATACAAGTAAGCAACTCCATATTTACCTCATCAAACCGACTGTCAAGCTCTTAACTAATTTTATCAATGACTCCAATATATACTTCTCTTCTGAAGTGATCATCATTTGTTTGGTCCTGAGCAAAATGTGCTGATCTTCCATATGGCACATAATTATGTTGCATTCCAGGAACTTGAATGCCATATTTGTTGCAAAATATTGTAACCCTTTGAAGAAATGAAACCCACCCTTCAGACCTCATTTGCTGCATTTTACTCTTTGCCAAACGGACAAGTGACATTGCATTAAGGATATCTTGGTCTTTTCTTTGCAAACACTCAGACAATTCACTTGTATGTCCAAGAATGTCAAGCATCAAATGAGCACTAAAAATGAAATCAAATGACTCAAACACTCCAACCATAGTATGTATTTTTGGCCATTCACCCCTTTGTGAAGTATCTTGTCCAAGAGCTATGAGTACATCATGAATTGTGGGATACATAGCAATCATGTTGACCACAATTTTATAATGAGAGCCCCACCGAGTGTCACCAGGTCTAGGCAGCCCCATCTCTTGATTTAACCCACTTTCATATTCTAGTATACCACACTCAAGTGCTTTCATGACATTGGCATATTGGTGATGTCGAAGCATGCCATGACGCTTACAAGAACTACCAACAATATTTAGCAAGAGGGATACTCGATCAAAAAACCACACACAATCATCATTGTCTTTGACAACAGCAACAAGAACCAATTGGAGTTGATGTGCAAAATAGTGAACATAATAAGCAGATGGTGATTCTTTCATAATCAAGGTTTTCAGCCCTTTAATCTCCCCTTTCATGTTACTAGCCCCATCGTAGCCTTGACCATGGATTTGAGTTATAGTTAAACCATGACTAACTAGTAATGATTGAATTGCTTCCTTAAGTGATGATGAGCAGCGAAAAGCAACCAACAAGGGATACAAACCGGCTACAAAATGACTAAAGGACCTGAGCTATACCACGCTCAATAGAGTTTAACCCACCTAAAGCCTTGTTTGGATGCACATGTATTCATCTTGATCCACATGTGTTGAAGTGGATTGGATTGGAATTAAACTAGATTTCATTCCATTCCACTCCAACACATGTGGATTGATGTGGATACACATGCATCCAAACAAGGCCTCATACAAAGTTCAACAAAAGTTAACACCAACATGCAAATAAGAGTTCACATATTTTGCAAGGGCGTCCCATAGATCAAACTTATTCATGACTACTAATACTACTGATATGTCCCACAGATCAAGGGTTAGGGTTGGCATGCAGGATCTCATCCACGTCCACCTTTGGTAAGACGGCGTTGGTGGCCAGCTCGAAACTATCAATCAGATCGGCAATGTCATCGTCCATCGAACGTGGTGAAAATCCCTACTCCGCCACTCCGAGGTTCATCGCTGTGCCAATCTGAAGCTGGGCAGCAACCAGTGCCGTGGTAGCCCCTTGACGAATGGCTTCGGTCCCCATGGCTCAAATTCGGGCGTATCATCTACATGAATAATTCCAAGAAACCGCTCACACGGCCTTCCTGATTTATCAACATAACGCAAGCAAAGGGCTAGTTGTTCTTTATGAGAGACATCACTAGACTCATCAGCTAAAATTGTATAGTGATCTTCACCAATTTCCTTAATGATTTGATCTCTAGTCTCCATTGCACAGCATTGAATAATATCTTTTTGTATGTCTGGGCTAGTCAAAGTGCAATTACCTGGAGCATTCTTCAATACGAACTTGTCCACCTCTTCATTATTTGCTGCAAACCACTTCAAAAGCTCAATGAAGTTTCCTCTAATGCTAGACTCTTCACTTTCATCATGCCTAGGGAATGCTAACCCTTGCTGCAAAAGAAACCTCAAACATCTAAGTGAATAAGTCAACCTGATCTTGTAGAGACGCCGCTCCTCATTATCCACCTTCACAATTTTATCATCAATTGCTCCATGGGGAGTCATAAATAAGTTGTATTTTTCTTGAGCTGCATTGTGAGCACTTGTTACACCACCCACATGTAAATCAAGTGCATCATTTCTATTCCAAGTTCTCAGGACACCTTCAATAAATGCAGATTTCTTAGTTTTCTCCTTTGCAAAAAAAGTAGCACACAAAGCAAAATGCCGCTTCCTTCTTAATACTATATTCAATCCAAGGATATTTATAAAACCATATAGGATTGAATTGCCGATCTCTATGTCCATTTTTTCTACTTTCAAATTCATGAGCATAAGGTTGGTATGGGCCTTTAATGATATAAGATCGTCGAACTGCATCTTGATCATTGACAGGATAATTTGCAATGGGCTGTCTTTCCCCTGGATCAAGTGGAAGTCAACTAATATCATAAACTGGTGGACTTGGAGTTGGAGGCACTGGAGTTGGAGCCACATTTTCTTCAATCACTCTATTTTCACCCAGTCCATCTTCTTGTTCTTCAATTTCCTCTTCTAGAACAGCTGCAGCCAGTGAAGGAGATGGAGAAGAAGCCTTCTTCTTTGATTCATATTTCTGAAAAAGAGAGACGATATCACCACTCCTCTTCATTTTCAACAAATCTATAAGAGAAATAAGCAAGCCCAATATTTTAATTAAATATTTAAATTATTTCAGTGCTACAATAAAATTTTAAAATTGAGATGAAATAGAAATTAAATTATTTCTACGTACGGGGTACCGTTGGCAGTAGCAATGTAGCAGATGCAATACTTGTCGTGAATTGAATTGAAGTTGAATCGAAGATTGTTGATTATCTCCTGTTAGCACTTTAGTAGTTTAGGGCTTAATCACTTGATACACACAGAGAGAAACGTGATAGAACTCGAGTAAAGAAGAAAGGATATCAAGATTCAAGATCAACGTACAGGTTGTGTGTTGCTACTTGCTAGCCTTGCCTCTAACTCCGACGTCTGGACAGGCGGCGGGCGGCGACTGCTCTGCTGCTGCAAATACAGATCGAGTATGACTTTGGACGGTTGGAGTCAGAACTCAGAAGACGTGCATGTCAAGGAGAGGCGGACGTCGCTCGGACTTCGTCGCTCAGGCTCAATCGCGATCCGACAACAAAAGCACATAGGCTAGCCCAGCAGAATCCGGCCGAATACTGAGGGGTACTAGATTTTAGGCCAAATCTGCAGGGTGGTCCGTGGCCCAACCTGTCTACCCTGTAGCTCCGCCCGTGCATAAAACACGTCCTGCTTTTGAAGTGCAGATCAGAAACACGTCCAGTACCCCTAAGGGTGGACCGTTGGACAGTTAAAAAAAAGGTGGACCTGTGGAGACATGTCACTTTCCCAAGCTCGAATGAAGCCCATGGGCCTATCTTGTAGCATTAGTGGGCCTTTCAGATGTCCAAACTTCAACAGGGCAAGGAAAGTTTAGCGCGCAACATCTAACAGCTCAAAAGTTACTACTCCTACTAAGTACTAACACGTTACCATCAGATCTCTGAGAGTTCATATTAGCCATGATGCCTTTAACATGACATATATAGGCCTCTTAATAATTGTTATTAACTTGTGATTATACGCTGGACCAGAAAAAATAGACCTCTGCTAATTTGCAGCATCAGGAAAGCAGAGAGAGAGAGAGAGAGAGAGAGAGAGAGAGAGAGAGAGAGAGAGAGAGAGAGAGAGAGAGAGAGTACGCTACTAATCAATCTCGCAGTTGCACCAATACAAAAGTTCATGTGATCGTTATCAACAAGGACACTAACACTGGCGAAAGCATACCTTCTGATCAAGAGATTGACGTGACCTTGGTCACTTCATCAAAATACCTAACAATCTCTCGTTTTCTGCTCCCTCTAGCTAGATTCAATAATACAAATCCAAACCACCTCTCTCCAACAGAATAAATGCAACAACTCGTCCTTCTCGGACGGCACCGTGAAAGCAACACGCCAAAATATGAAATCAAAACACCGCACCCACATATTTGTATGCATGTATTGTAAATATAAAGTTAAACTATATGCGTGATGTGTGCTCTAGCTATCGTGCGTGCTTCCATTGGATGTGACCTTGGGCGAGATGCCACGTGTGCTCCTAGTCATGCCCTGAGCGCCTCCAAGTGGCGGGATACTCTGCGCGTTGCGAAACACGTTCTTTGGGTCAATCAATGTCTTTGCTCGAACCAGTCGGTCGTAGTTTCCCAAAAAGTACCTCTCGCCCCACACCCGTGCCGCCTCCACTTCTGGGTTCGGGCTCTCATCGACGTCGCCGGCAGCTCGGTGGGCGAACCAGTTGTTGGTTCCAAGATCAAGGTCCATGTAGTTTATGTATGCGGTTCGTGGCTTTTTTGGCACATACTCTCCCATGAAGTCGTAGAACCCGCGCAACCAATCCATGTACTCCTCCTTGTGATCATCGTCATCAGCCGTCCATTCGATTAGGTATTGGATGCCATGGATGTTACCTTTGCGATGCGGGAACGGGAGATCACCGGACCCGACCTGATCCATGGCGCCACCGTACGGGTCCAAGATGACGTACGCCTTGGGCTGCTCCGACAAGAGGCCAATGGCTCTGATCAGCTGGTCCAGGGTCATCGGACGGCGCACGTAGTCCGACTTGGCCTTGAAGTAGTTCTTCTGGTGGAGCACCCGGTCCGTGAGGTCCGACACCGTGCTCCCCTCGGGCAGACCCGAGAAGAACACCACGGATTCGATCCAGCTCATCTCTCGCGGGTCCAGATCCGACAGCCCGATCTCCGGGAACCTTGCCGTCAGTATCTGCAGCGCCTCGTGGGCCGGTCCGAGGTACAGCCCCTTGAACGTGACGGAGATGCCGGTCCGGTTCAGTTTCTTCAGCTCCGGCAAGCCCGCGCCGACGAACGCGGAGACGTAGAACTCGTCGGGCAGCCACGGCGCGACGTGCTGCCACGTCGACACCAGCGACGCCACCGACCGGACGGAGCCCGGGCGGTTGACGACGAACGCGGTGACGCGCTCGGGGACCGCGCTGAGCCGGACGCGCCACGCGTACACGGCGCCCCAGGTGCCGCCCCCGCCGCCGCGGATCGCCCAGAACACGTCCTCGCCCATCCCCGCGCGGCTCAGGACGCGCCCCGCGGCGTCGACCAGCACGGCGTCCACGACGTTGTCGGCCGCCAGGCCGAACTTGCGGGACAGCAGGCCGAACCCTCCGCCCGCGATGTGCCCGCCCGAGCCGACCGTCGGGCACGACCCCGCGGAGAACGCGAGCGCCGGGCCGCTCGCCGCCGCCACGGCGTGGTACGTCTGCCCCAGCGTGGCGCCGGACTGCACCCACGCGGTGCCGGCGCGGCGGTCCGCGTCGACGTGGACGTCGACGCGGTCGAGCGCGGCGAGGTCGACGACGGCGAACGCGCTGCTGCGGCCGTCGTCGTCCTCGGTGGTGGTGGTGTAGGAGAGGCCCTCGTAGCTGTGCCCCCCGCTGCGGAGGAGCAGCACCAGCCCAGCCGCCCGCGCGCACCGCACGGAGTCGCGGAGCTCCTGGAGCGACGCCGGGACCACCACGGCCGTGGGCTTGGGCGCGCCCGCGCCCGCGAATCGGAGGTTCTGGACGGACACGAGGAGCGCGGCGGCGTAAGCGGGAGACTGCCGCGTCGTGACGTTGCCCACGCCAGCCGCGGCCAGGCACGCCGTGAATAAGCTCCCGTCGTCGCCGATGCCGTCGTCGACGCCGCCGCCGCCGCCGCCTGCTTGCACGACGAAGAGGCGGAGGAGCACGAGAGAGAGCAGGGCGAGGTTCGCCATGGCGCGTGGAGAAGGTACTACACCTACACTACACTACACCCGGTGGAGCTGAGCCAGAGGAATGTGGGGTTTTATACACGCCACTTATGATCACCAAGGTTTTGTTGGCATGCGCGCTGTTAATCGAGGAGGGAAAAGTTGCAGTGAGCGACGCACGGCGGGCTGATTTATTAAGAGCAATAGTCACTAACAAAGTGAGTAATCGTTAGCTTCTTTTGTTAGCGCGTGGCCGGCAAGACGTACGGCGTTGTCTGATTCTGCTGCACTACCTTGCAATAGTTGTCTGATCTTGCAACCTCGCAGGCGTGTACAGTAACTAGTAGATGAAAAATCGGATAAGGTAGCATAGGACAACGTTGCAGTTGGTTAGTGATCTACGTAACGTAACTCGGTGGCCGTCGGGTAGTTTCTGTCGTCGCCACACCTGCAGACCTGCTGCTTCTTTGCTACGTACTATTCGTCGTCGCAACTCGCAACATTGTGCACGCCTGCACGGACTGTCGACGTAAAAAAAAAGGACAATACATAGTTTAGTTGAATGAAGCATCACCAGGTTTTTCGATCTCAGCTAAGGAGGAACAGGGACAGGCAGAGTCCAATCGTAGCAGGTGGCGATGGCGAGAGAGAGAGAGACGAACGACAAATTAGGAGAGCGGCCGAGTAACAGCCTGATCGCTGGGCTGGCTGGCCAGCCTCCTCATATGGCTACTATTTACGCGAATCAACCAGCAGTATTTTTTTTCTCACGTAAACGAATCAGCAACTATACGAACCAGCCAACAGGTCGGTCGAAACGGTGTGCGGCTGTGCGCGGGGTTTCGCTGGGTTTAAGTTTAATTCCCAGGGCGCCGGCGCCGGCGCTGCGGACGGCCTGCGGGTCGATCACTCGGATAACTCTTTGGCAGGCCGCCGTCAGCCGTCGCCTGCTTCTTTCTTATTCTTATTATTTCCGAACGAAGCCGGCCGGCCGGCCGGCCCAAAGCCAATTACTTGCTCTTCATCGTGGATGGTGGCGATAAGATGGCTATCGAGAAGAAGTTCCTTTCCTCCCCCAACTAAAGTCATTTTCTATGCTATGAGCCTTCTTGCAGAAATGGATGGTGGCGCGTGAGTGTGTGACGACGAAGATCGTGGCGATTATCTAGATCTGGCTCGACAGCAGCTTCAATCCGCCCCACATTCCCGTCACAGACAATGCAGAGCCGGCAGTTGTTTGTATATTCGTTGTTATCCAGTGTCCTTAATTGGCCTTCATGCCAAATACTACTAAATATGGTTCTTTCCTTTGCTCAGAGTAAGTACAAGCGATGAGTTCCTTCCTTCAAGGTGACAAAACACTTCAGTTTGGACATGCATATTTGTTTGATCCTAGCATTCTTATATATGATCTCAGCACCACTTATAGACAAATCAGTACACGCATTTCCAAATTGCCACCGGCTCCAAAACTAGGCCCCGTTCGTTGGTCTAAAACTTGGCTGAAACTGGCTGAAAAATACTGTTCCGGCTGAATTGTTGTGAGAGAAAAATACTGTTCCGGTTTAAAAAAGAAACCGAACAAGCCAAATATGAAGTAAGCCGAACATAGCCTAAACATGCACAACAAGCTCGTACTAAATAAAGCTAAGACCTCTCACTGGTGATTCCACTTTCCACAGCCCACAGGGTTGTGGCTTCTGACGTCGCAACTCTTTGCGCATTATACCAACACATATGAACCGTTTGGCTCCTGAAACTCCAGATGGCAAGGCGTGAGTTTATCAGCAGCAGCAGCTAGCACAGTGATAAAAACCCCTTCATTGACAGTCGGCATCACCACGTACAGTACAGACTCGACGAGTCCGCCGACTCCGGCAACGGCATCGGCATAGGCTTGAAGTTGAAGTTGCTCTGGAACAAAATTGCTCCTTCTGTTTGTACAGAGCTTCTCGCATCTAGTCATGCTGACACCTGACAGGCGACAGAGACCGTAGCCCTCCTCAACTGGTACCTGAAGTGCTGAACGTATAGGCAAATTTGTGGAATAACTCTATGAGCTACTGCAAAATAGCTGCACCTGTAGATGACATGCTCCCCGTGGACCCCGTCTCCTGCCATGTGTGACCCTGCTCAGGTCAAATTTCCAGCAGCTCAGTGTCCTGGAGTCCAAACATAAGGGTGTGTTTGGTGCGGCATCTGGGGGCTCCGGCTCCGCAACTGTAGTGGAGCCGGGAGAAGCATCCCTTCGGTAGCTCTTCTGGCTCTTCTCTGGGCTGCGCAGGGGCCAGAGCCTTTTTCTTGGTCGCTATAGAATTGCACAGGAAGTAACAGGGACGAAGGAGCCGGAGCCGAGCAGAGCCCAAACAAACGGCCCCTAAAATTCTGCTTCCTCTCGTTCCTGAATATCCATTGCCTTATTTAAAGCCATTTCAGTTGTTAGATATTGACATTTCCACTTTCCACGTTGGATTTAGTTAAATCCAGTCTATTCTGTCGTGTTCTTCATGTGCTTCAACTGCAGGGTCATCACGCTGAGGTGCTAGAATGATTGAAACAATAAAAAATGCCACCAATTTTCCCAATGCAGGCCTGTTTACTGTCAGGAGTAGTACTAGTAGTACATGCTCGACCACAAGGCATGGATATTAGACAAAGGGTTTTTGATAAAGAACTATATTATAGGGCTTTGTTTAGATGGCCTCAAAGTTCTAAGTTTTTTCACTCTTTCTCTATCACATCAAATTTTGGACGTATGTATGGAGCATTAAATATAGATAAAAAAAATAACTAATTGCACAGTTTGGTTGTAAATCACGAGACGAATCTTTTGAGCCTAGTTAGTCTATGATCGAACAAAGTTTGTCAAATACAAACGAAACGTGCTACGGTGTCCAGATCGCAAAAATTTACAATCTAAACAAGACCTAGATATCAGATGATCAGTGCAGCACGCATATACTGATGCTTGCTACAATTCCCATCAAATACACAGCTCCCAAATATTTTAGCATGGGAAAATGATCCTTCATCCAACAATGTCACTGTATCAGCTTTATGTGATGGCACAACAGCAACCCCCTGGTTGCTGCTAGAAAGATGTGGATGCTAACTATGCAAAACTGCAAAGTTACTGTATTCAAGAGTGATCAAGGTGAACTAAACATGTGGCAGTGGTTTAAGAAAATGATCCACCATCTATGCACCAAATAAGCCAATTGATTGCAAACTCCGCATATCGATCAACAAGGATTTCTCAAGTCTCTTCCTCCTTATTAATTCCAAGTTCCTGCCCTTTCTTTCAGTTAAGGAAAAAAAAAATTCAAGTCTCAAGGGAAGAGAAAAGTGCAAGAGGTAACATTGATCGCACCAGGCTCCAGCGCGCGCTGCGGCCTGCGGGCGTGTTCTCGGCCCATCTAAAGAGCATACTATGTAAAACAGATGTGTTGGGCTGCACGTTAATATGCTGGCCCAAAATGGAATTTGTTTGTTGCCAAAATGAAAAAAAAGGAGAAGGAAAGAAATCTGACGCCGAGAATCCACTCAAATTGAACTCACAAAGGAGTTGCACGTGCAATTGGATCTTAAAACATCGGAAGACATCCAAGGGCTTGTTCGTTTCATCAGGAATAGGACCCAGAAATAATTTCTAGCCAGAATGATTCAATAATTTGTACTAATTTTGATGAGCTAAAATTGTTCCGGGTGCATTCCGAGAAAACCGAACAGCCCCTAAAGCTTCCTTCTTCCGGAATATGGATAAGATTTTCGCTCATCATCAAAAGGTACCAGGAGTGGACAAAAACAAAAACAGTTCCTCTAGTCTGGGCTTTTTTTTTATTACAGGTATACATCTCCACTTAACAAGTCTTAATAAATTTAAAGTAATAAATCTTAAATAAGGAAAAATTAAAGACAAAAAACATTGGAAACATTTCTTGAGACGGCTTAATCTATCCGAATAAATTTCTATTTTTTTTGTGGGTTTGATATCTACAGTACCATGTACCATTTATTTATTTACCTATATTTCTGTATACCAAAAATTGCTGCCTCCTTCGGCCAGTATACCACCCTGTTTCTTGCTACAGAAGTCTGTCGCAACGCATCTTGGAACACAAGTTGGTCCGGCCATCGTAATTGCTACGGGCACACAGCGAAACACCCGGCCTTTATTACCTTCCAGTCCAGAAGCCTCCCTTCTCCGTTCTCCCCCCTTTTCAGCCCGAATCCATCTCCGCGCCGCCGTCGCCGCCGCCGTTGCCGACGACGACGATGGCAAGCCTACTCCGGCGATCCGCAGTACCCGCACGCCAGCTCCTCCTCCTCCCGCGCCACCTCGCCGCCGCAGCCGGCTCCGCCCCCGCCTCGTCCCGCTCCTTCTCCCGCTTCCACTCCCGCGACGACAGCTCTATGTAAGTAAAACCCTACCCACTTCCCCCCCATTCTCCGCCCAACCTTCTGCAATGCAATTTAAGACTGACGTGACGCCCCTGGACGCGTGCTACTCTCATCAGGTTCGACCCGCCGGAGCCGCCGGTGAACTGGGGCGTGAGCATAGTCCCGGAGAAGAAGGCTTTCGTCATCGAGAGGTTCGGGAAGTATCTCAAGACGCTCGGCTCCGGGTTCCACCTCCTGATCCCCGCCGTCGACCGTATCGCCTACGTGCACTCGCTCAAGGAGGAGACCATCCCCATCCCCCACCAGAACGCCATCACCAAGGACAACGTCACCATACAGATCGACAGCGTCATCTATGTCAAGGTAATACTGCCTGACTCCCCTTGTTCGCCTGTGCCTGTGCGGTCTCCATACAGATTGTTGAGTGTTGCAGTTGTTGCCGGTAGATCAGGGATGGGTGTGGATGTGATGCTTCATATGGTAAAAGTTAGTGTCGACTGGATTGATCCAGCTTGTGATTTGCCTGGTGTAGTATTGGCTCCTGGGTTTAGTTAATTGAACTTGCAATTGAAGATGGTAGGACATTGTGATGCATTAAGGATGTTTTCTATGTGGATTTCAGGATTTCCTGTTTTCTGATTTCTGATTTGGTTAGTGTAGTAGATAGAGTCGAAGGACTTTGTGTTTGTGAAGCCTACATACTGAAATTTCGATTTCCAATCTTATTTTGCATGCATTAGTTGACACTGTAGGTCTCTCTCAATACCTGACTTATCTCTGCAACATATGGTGATGCCATTTTATAAATCCCAGGACAAAAATATTTAGGTTGTATGACCATTCGCAGCAAAAGCTCAAGTTATTTTCACATGATGATTCAATATCTCCTTGAATACGGAATTCAGGATAAGGCATCATGTTGTTGGTAGCACATTGCCACTTTGCCTAGTATGAGTTGGATAGTTATTATGGAATTCATTGTAATCATTGTAATGCCTGGGACAACGGATGCAGATTGACACTCTTGTGTGCTCTTTTGTATGGGTTCGATGATATTATACCCTTCTGGCTGCACTACATTGTAGATGGTACCACCCTTGGTCGTCGAGATCAATGCCTAGGCACATTCTCAATGACTGTAGCAAGTTCAAGATGCCGCTTTAATTCCCATGCATGAACCTCTTGAAGATGTTCCTAATTTTTTGGATAAAATATGGTATTTGATTTACACCTTCAGATGTTTCCTTGTTTGGAATCAAAGCTTTTTCAGGGATGTAGAACCAATGATGGTGTGCCACATAATTTACTGCTTCATTGCCCTGGCGACAAAAAATTACACAATTTTTTGTAGAACTCAGCATAGCCTTGTGTTCAGAAATGGGTATTTTTTATGATTTGGTTAGTTTGCTTCCAGGTGGATCATACTGGTTTTAGTGCTTCCATAGATATATGCATCTAATCAAAACCCAACTCAGTGTCAATTTTTTTTATGGGAAAGATGTATGTGATGATGAGTTTTTGTGATTGTAAACATGGTGCTTATTTCCTTGCGATATAATGTTTGTTGGACCAATCTTTGTTTATTTTGGTTAGCTGCTGAGTTTTTTCATTTGTGGTATTTTGTGTCATTTGAGGTAGAGTGGCTGTTTGGCCCTAATGCTTAATTCTGGTTTTGTTTTATTCAGTGTTTTCCGACGCCTAGGCGACGCCTAGGCGTCCAGGCGTACCCAGCTCGCCTTGGGAAACAGTGGCGCCTTGTGGCCTAGGCGCCGCCTAGGCGTCCAGGCGTACCAAGCACTCGCCTGGACGCCTAACCGCCTTTAAAACTATGGTTTTATTCCATAGGATAGCAAACATTATATTTGACAGAGGAACTTATGAATGGATGTACTCCCTCAGTTCCAGATTATAAGATGTCTTAACTTTTCTAGATACATTATTTTTACTATGTATCTATACATAGTGTATATCTAAGTGCATAGCAAAAGCTATGTATCTAGAAAAGCCAAAATGTCTTATAATTTGGAATGGAGGGAGTATAATTCAATCCATTCTGTTTTGATGTAATGTCACTATCCATCTGTGTTTTTTTGTAAGTCCTTTAAGCATTACTGTGGTAAGTGCATGTGTTATTCTTAGTACCATCGAGTCGAGTGACCTGCATGCTCTTGGTCAGATTTGGAAATTCCTCTAAAGTGAAGTTGTGTATTCAGGCTTTGGAGTGCTGAGCGAAAACTCATTATTTTGTTGAATTTTGCAGATCATGGACCCCTACCTTGCTTCCTATGGTGTGGAGAATCCAATCTACGCTGTCCTACAACTTGCACAAACAACCATGAGAAGTGAACTTGGGAAGATAACCTTAGACAAGACTTTTGAGGAGAGAGATGCATTAAATGAGAAAATTGTGGTATGGATTCTTATTCCCATCTTGACTTCTTTGTTCAACTTTCCATACCATACATTTGGGGTGGGAAAACAATTAAAATGCATTAGGTTTTGTACTCTTTTGATTAATAATCTCTCCATATTGTTTCTGTATTACCATCCATGTAATATTTTTGGATCATATGAAGAGATCATCCAAATTGGTATCCTAGTGGAAATATGCTATGTGTTGAATAGATTCCCTTGACCGGAAAGTGAATGCCATTGCATTAGATGATCTCTATGAGGGTCAATGATTCACCAAATTATGATATAGTCTATTTGAAACATATGGAAGCAGTTGCAATTTTAACATGTTATTAGTTTGGCTCCTTGTTTGTATGGTAGAAGTAACAGGATGGCTAAGCTTAACCTGATCATCCTAGCTTTCAACAACAGCTATTTGTATGATCATGTTTATTTAAGCTACTGTTTGAAGAAACTTGTAAATTTGTCGATAAATTATGATTGCTTTACCATTGAACATTTGTACTGTTGATTATGATTTTGTGTCATGTTTACAATGAAAGGCCCATTGATAGTCCAAACAATCTGAAGAAGCAATAAACTTGACTACAAAAAGCTTCTTAGATGTGGTAGCTGTTGTTCCTCTCTCTCTGATATCTGAGTGTTTCTTTGTCTCTCTTTGTTCATCAGACATGCAAGTATTTCTGTTGGCTACCACTAAACATCTGGCTAATGTTTTCTGTCAATTGTCTGCAGAGTGCCATCAATGAGGCAGCCACAGATTGGGGCCTGAAGTGTATCCGCTATGAGATCAGTATGTCGTTTTTTTCCTGTTTAATCATTTGAGTTATAATACATGCATTGTTTCAAATGTCATTGTTTCTAATGTTTTAAATTTGACAATGCAGGGGACATAACTCCTCCAACAGGGATCAAGCAGGCTATGGAGATGCAGGCTGAAGCAGAAAGGAGAAAGCGCGCCCAAATCCTCGAGTCTGAAGGGAAGAAACAGGCCCAAATCCTTGAATCCGAAGGGAAAAAAACTGCCCAGATCCTTGAATCTGAAGGTGATGACTGCACAAACCTTTTTTTCTTTTTAGCTTAATATGTGGTTTTAATTCTACATACTGAAATATTGATATGATGGCCTTTAACGTCTTCCGCATTTGAGAGATGTATTTGATTTGATATATGGGGGGTTGAACTTGACATATTTCATTTGTTGTACTAGGAGCTATGTTGGATATAGCAAACCGTGCGAAGGGTATGTGACATTCCACACACCTTATTACCATGTTCTCATTTTTTTTTGGTAAACCCGTTCAGCATGCATTATTCCACCACTGTTTTACCTTATTTGATGATGGCTATTGGTGCTGTTTAGTTAAATTGAACATTGTAAATATTTGCAATTTGTTTTCTTCTAAAGGATCTTGCATTTCTTTATTCCCCCCATCATTAGAATTTACTTATTCTGGCTATCACCACCAGGTGCGGCCGAAGCAATTCTTGCCAAGTCAGAAGCTACTGCTCGTGGAATGAGATTGGTTTCAGATGCGATGACAACTGAAGGCAGTGCCAAGGTATTGAGTGTTCTTGACCATCAAAATGGTACTAAGTACTAACTACAACATTTGTGCTCTTAAATGCTAACAATGTTATATTTCTGTGCTAGGCTGCTAGCCTAAAACTTGCAGAGCAATACATCGAAGCGTTCTCAAATCTGGCACAAAAGGTGAGATTGTCATAGTTCTGTTACTCTTCTTTGTGTCCAGCTCCTTCTGTGAATTTGAAATTGCTGATGTTTTCTTTTTCAAATCCAGACAAATACAATGCTCCTTCCAGGTGACAGTGCCAGCCCAGCATCTTTCGTGGCCCAGGCGATGAAGACGTATGAGCATATCCATTCCCACAACCAGGCATTAAAGAGCCACCCCCAGATAGAAGAGCTGGAGGAATCAGGAGAGATCAGTCCTGCTGCCCCATCTTCTGAGGCGAGCACGATGCCACCACTCATTGAGGAAGCAGACTCTAACCAGACCTTCACGCTGCAACGCCCCAAGAACAAGAAGTGAGCTTCGCTCGAGTGCTTGAAGTCCTTTTCTTTGTCTCTATTGTTCTGCAACATGAGAGCGTCACTGAGAAACACCAGTAGGTTTAGTTTTCTTTAGGCCCCGTTCGCTTCGCTGAAAAAACAAGTCGAAACACTGTTCCGGCTGATTTGTTGTGAGAGAAAAACACTGTTCTGAAAAAACAAGATGAAAAAGACGGATTATAAGAGAGCTGATGTGCGGCGGAGAAGCAATAGACCCCTAGGCATTTCGTTTCTGGGAGCTAAATGCGACCCGGATAGAGAGATTTTGATTCTGGTGAAGGTTATACTTTGGTTCCTTCTTATTAGATGGAAGTTTGTAAAAAGGCAAGGTTATTTTAATGGTGGTAAAACAAATCGCACACGATGGCAAATGCTTTAGTTCATGGTTACTGTTGCTCTGGTTTTGCCCAGTTCACTCAACATGTTATTTCTTGCTTGCTGAGCTAGGCTACATATGTTTATCTGTGAAACCTGGTTTGATCAATATCTCTGCCCTGTTTGCTTAAAGTACTGTTAGCTGATTTATTGTGAGAGAAAAATACTGTTCGTTGGCTGAAAAAGTACGATTTATAAGCCAAAGCGAACATGGCGTTGCAGTGGTGCTACGAATACTGTTTTTGCATCGTTTTCACTGTTTCTGATGTGAATTCCGGAGAGGTTAAATAATTACGTAACTGGCTCGCTGAGACGACATATCAAGATGGTTTACATCATCATGCTTACAAAACGACATTGGCGTTCTGCCGCTATAATACCTTTTGACTACCTCTTAGCTCTTACTAGGACGTGTTTGCCATATTTGTTAAACTTTATTCACCTGTAATAGTTTAGACATGCATCTCTTTGCACACAAGCAACACTTGCTCATTTATTGGTTTCGGATCGGACTTATCAATTTATGATATAGTGCTTTTCTCTCACAATAAACCAGCACCAGTCGGACTTATCATGCCAGAAAACAAACAGAAGGAAACCATATGAAAACTTTAACACCGGTAAAATAGTGTCTGGATAATCGTAGCAGGCTAGCAGCGTCGGCTCGGTGAGCTCGTGCGCGCCGCCTGGGCTAGTGGGCCGGGCTCGGAATGCCGTCGCAACGGATCCTTCCCAATTGAGTTCGCAGCAGGCAGCAGGCGAGGCCGTATTGGCCAGCTGGACAGGATTGGTTGGAGCGCCAGCTGGCCGCCTCGTCTCCGCGCCCAGGAAATGGACCCGCATGTCAGTGGAAGGAGGCCACGCCCACGTTGCGAGTCCAGAACCAGAAGCCATGGCCTTGAAATACCCCGCCTCCGCCGCCTTGGCGTGGTGCCCAAACGACGCCACCGTCCTGCTCTGCCAACGAACACCTGCTCTGCTCTCGCCGCTCCCTCCCATTCCGAATCCCCTCCCCGCAACAGCCCGGCGGTCATCTGCCCCACCACCACCACCACCAGGCGATGGATCTCTTGCCCGACGGGGCCTTCGTGCGGCTGGAGAGCCGCGTGACAGGCAAGTACGTCCACGCCGACGAGGACTGGGAGAGGGTCTCCCTGCGCCCGAACGGACCCGTCCCATCCCTGAACGCGGTGTGGCGGGTGGAGCACTGGGTCTCGCCGGACCAGGGGAACACCTTCGTCCTCCTCCAGAACGCCGCCTACGGCCGCTACCTCTCGTTCTCGATGCGGAAGGCGCAGACCGGCCACCGTGGCCGCCGCACCACCCAGATGGACCGCAGCGAGCCCAACGTGCTGCAGAACCTCAACGCCTACCCGTGGATGTGGACGTCGAGAGGCTGAACCCCCCCGACCAGGACTACGTCAGCCTGCGCTACCTCACCTGCTACCTCCGCGCCAACGGCAGGTACCTCCCCTGGAACATCCGCGTCACCGCCGACGTCGATCCAGACGCCCCCAGGGTCACCACCATGATGCACTGGACGGTCCACCAAGTCGCAGCGAGCCCGGTACCGCAACCCCTTCCGCTTACACTTGAGGATCAGGTGCGTGGCTTCGCCATCCTTTCTCCTTCCTTGCATTGCGTTGCGTTGGAATGCAACTGTCCTCGATCGGCTAGCTTTACTTGGAACACCAATCATGGATGCGTTGGTTTTGATTTTCGCCTTCCCAGTTCCCAAAAGTCTGATTACTGCATCGCAATCTTTGCGTTTATCCTTGCCTGAGTCTGAAACTGTTCGTTTCTTCCGATACAAGACTACTGAACCTGTTAATTCTTGCTGACAAGTTTTAAATCCGATGCCCAGGATTAAAATCCACAAATTACTGTGTATTCTAGATTGTGGTCCCTGCGCTTTACGAATTTATCTGTCATCCGTTATTTCTGAGTCGAATCATGGTACGGACTCCATTGGAGCACTTTGTTACGATGTGTACTCGAATGATTTGCGCTATTTTGGTGTTCGCCTTCCCGTTCCCTACCACTTCTCCACAAAGTATTGTCTATTCCAGATTGTACCCCCTTTGCTTTACGAATTTATCTGTCATTCGTTAAATCTGCGTCGAATCATGGTATGCGGAAAGCCCAAGCTGAGGTCACCATTGGAGTTCTTTGTTACGATGTATACTTGAAAGATTCGCGCTATTTGGTCTTCCTCATTTCATACCGGATCGATCGCAATGGTTTTTGTTTTACTGATTTCTGTGAGAGATTTCGAAAGAATTTGGTCTCTGAACATTCAGTTGTGAGTAAAATGTATATTCAGACATGTTCATTCTGTTACCGCTACTGTCCAGGCGTTTGATTTCTTTAATTTAATTCTTTTCCTAAACACAGGGAGCCCCCGGTGGCCTGTTGTTTCCGCATCCGCCGCGGACGATCCGGCACGTGCGGGCGAGCGATGAAGGGGAGTTTGACCAGAACCATCACAACTGGCCCTCATTCGCTTTCTACGACAGCTCCGTGACCAACCTGAGGTACGAGCTGGTGCAACTTCAGCACGACTTGAAGTGGAACGAGGACATGTCCGCCTACACGCTGTGCATGCTGCCCGGCTCGCATGGGCGGCTAATGCCGCTGGTCACCGACGACCTGCCTAGCAGCTTAGATTCCATGAACATCGTCGTCTTCAGGACCGAATCACCAGGTGACTACTCTGCAATTTTCTCAGCAGCCTGCAGTGGCGAATTTAGGATTTTAGGTGAGGGTATGCTTCCCTAAAAAATTCATACACAATTTGGTAAATCCATTTAGCAATTCGGTAATAAGGCTTAAATTCATGAATTAAGTAGACACCATATCCACTAAATACAATATAAATAGTTTCAAAAGCCATACCGATAATTGAAATATATGCATAATAGAGTACCAAAGACTTACTATGTTATTTTGCTGATGTTTTTATTCGACGTTTTCGAAGGGACATAAATGTCTCAATTATATCATCTTCATCAACTTCAAAGAAAATGTCTCGCTCAATGAAAGTGACTAGACAATCATCCAAAAGACTATCTCCCATCTTATTTCGTAACTTTGTTTTCACTAAAACCATTGTAGAAAATACCCTTTCAACACTTGCCGTTGCCACGGGTAGAAGCAATACCAATTTGAGAAGCTCATAAACCATATCATACACTTTATGCCTCCTTGTTTGAACAAGCTTAACTGAGAGATCAACAATATTTTCTAGACCTTTGAATCTATCATCCTGCCTCATGTCATCAATATAATTATCTAGCTGCAATTCAAGTCTGAGCAAATTATTATTTAAGAAATCCTTTGGGTAGAACTCAGCTAGTCTGCGTAGCTTCTTTGCATCAAAATACTCAAATGAATTAGAAGGATTGAAGGTTGCCATACAAGACAACAACTCCATATTAATCTCATCAAACCGATTATCAAGTTCTTGACTTATTTGATCAATGACACCAATATATACTTCTCTTCTGAAGTGATCATCATTGGTTTGCTTTCGAGCACGAGCTTTCCTTGTTGATTTGCCGTAAGGAACATAATCATCATCCATAGCAGGAACATCAACACCATGTTTATCACAAAATGAAGTGACCCTCTCAAGAAAATTATCCCAACCATTAGACCTCAATTCTTGCATTTTTTTCTTTGCCACGTTAACAAGTGATATTGCATTAAGAATATCTTGCTCCCTTCTTTGCAAACACTCAGATAACTCATTTGTGTATCCAAGAATAATATACATTAAGTGTGCAAAGAAAATAAACTCAAAGGTCTCAAATGCTCCAAATCAAAAATGTATTTTGGTCCAATCATCCTTATATGTCGGATCATCCCCAAGATTAACCAGTACATCATGGATTGATTCATACATAGTAATGATGCTGCATATAGTTTTGTAATAAGATCCCCATCGAGTATCTCCAGGCCTAGGTAAACCCATCTCTTGATGTAATCCAGTTCCAGATACAATTTCACCACAGTCAAGTGCTTTCTTCACATTCTCAAGCCGAGCATTTCTAAGCATGTCATGACGCTTACAAGAAACTCCAACAATATTCAACAAGATAGATACTTGATCAAAAAAAAAGAACTGCAATCAGTATTTCCCTTAGCAACAGCAACAAGAACCAATTGGAGTTGATGAGCAAAACAATGAATATAATAAGCGTAAGGTGATTCTTGCATGATCGTGTTTTCAACCCTTTAATATCTCCTTTCATGTTGCTAGCCCCATCATATCCTTAACCACGGATTTGAGTCAAACTCAAGCCATGACTAACAAGTAAAGCTTCAATTGCATTCTTTAGTGATAAAGAAGTAGTATCATCTACATGAACAACTCCAATAAAATGCTCACATGGCCTTCCCGCTTATCAACATAACGCAAGCAAAGAGCTAGTTGTTCTTTATGTGATATATCACTAGACTCATCTCGCTAAAATTGCAAAGGGCTCATCACCAAGTTCTTCAATTATTTTCTTTCTAGTTTCTAGGGCACAACAAAGAATAATTTGCTTTTGTATGTCCTGGGCTAGTTAATGTACAGCTACCGGAGCATTGTCCAAAACATACTTGTTTACTTCTTCACTATTTCCGCAAGAAATTTCAAAAGTTCAATGAAGTTCCCTCTGCATTGCTAGATTCTTCACTTTCATCGTGTCCACGAAATGCCAACCCTTGATGCAAAAGAAACTTGATACACCTAAGTGAATAAGTCAACCTTTTCTTATAAAGTCGAAGATCCTCATCACTCCACTTCAATATTATAATCAATTCCTACCTTGGGATTTATAAAGGCAATGTATCTCTCTTGAGCTGCAATATGTGCCTTGGAACCCAAATGTTTTAGAAGTGCATTCTCTCCTATATTCCAATTATTCCAGCCATCAACAAGAAATGCCTCCGACCCGTGCTCTTCTTAAACAAGTAGCATATAAAGCAAAATACAACATCCTTCTTAATACTATACTCAATCCATTCATGATTGTACATCCAACAAAAACTGAATTGGCGATTTTGTCCTCGAAATCTTTGTTTTCGGAAAATCATGTGCAAAAGGTTTGAATGGACCTTTAGTAATATATGCTCTTCAATTGCATCTTGATCATTAACAGATAACTAAGAATGGGACGTCTTTCACCGGATCATGTGGAAGGCGATTGATGTCATAAACCGGTGGCGATGAAGATGGTCGTGTCTTTGGTGGCGGTGGCGGTGGTGGCGGTGGTGGCCGTAGCATACGATTTTCAATTTCCTCAACTACTCTCTCATCAGTCTGTTCTTCCACCATAGGTACAACCGGATCAGGAGAGCGATTAGAAGTAGCACCAGCTGCCGCTGCCTTCCTCTTTGCTTCATGCTTCTTAAAAAGAGATGCAATGTCCCCGTTTCTCTTCATAACTGTTGATTGCAAAAATATTACAAAGAACACAATGCCAAATAATTAAATAAATTGTGCTTGCATGATTGGACTGACATATGTGATTATGGATCACTCACATGATACGAGTACTGAACAAAAAATCAATCTAGGTCAACTACGATGTTGAGAAAAATCCTCCACCTTGCTGTGTGATAGATGATCCTATAATTTTAGCGCTAAGCAATTAGCAATTAAAGTACACATGATTTTTTTTAAAAAAAAACAAAGAACAAAAAATGTCACCTGAACGGCTGGACAATTCTGATGCCGATGCTTCTCGTCTGTCGGTCTGTGTGCCTGTGCCTTTGCTTTCAATCGGACGAGAAGACACAAGGACGGGCGGCTGGTGGCTGGCGACTGACGGACGGAGTATTGGCGTCGGCGTCAGTCTCGGCGATTGGCGTAGGGCACGCCGGCACGGCGCCGCACGCCGAACTCGCGAAGACTCGAGGCGATCGAAGTCCAACCGTTCGCTGCGCCGCTGCCTCGATCCGTCCACGGTCCACCGTCTGATTTGGCGTAGCTGGCCGCATGGGCCGTGTCCGCGTGGGCCTGACGGACGCTTGCTTGCACTCGCGAGTCGGCCTGCCTGCCTGCCTGCTCGTGCCTCGCTGATTCCTTGGTCTCGTAAATGAGGGATTTTTTTTGATAAATACGTATATGTACTCCACTTCACGCCGGAAACACAGGGTATGCTGGAGCATATACAGCATACCCTGTAGCTCCGCCCCTGGCAGCCTGTACAGCACTTGTTATCTGCTTGTGCTCTCACAGTTTCAGCATGTGAGATGTTCAATGTTTGCACCTGTAGCTCAAGTTTGGTTCTGTAGTTCTGAACTTGTTATGCAAAGAGATCAGTGAAAAAATATCTGCATGATAGATTTTGAGTAGAACATAGTGTCATACTGACAACAGGAATTGCATCTTGCCTGTTGTTTTCCATAGCCCTAATGCTCAGAGAAACTCGTTTAATTTTGAATAGTTGTTGCCTGTAGTATCCTCTTCATGGCTTTTTGGGGCTCTACATTTTAGTCAACTTGTGATTGAGGTAATGGTTTACTTCGTTTGGTTAGGACTAATCTAAAACATGCTGTACATAGAAGAAGCACTCGAATGGAAATAGCCTCATTCAGTCATTCTCAGGTCTGTAGTGTTCATAGTGCTGCATAGGATTTAGCAGTCCTTTGACAGATTCTTAACTTGGTCAAAATTGTCCGATTGCATTTCTACCATGGTGGTCAGTTTACAGATTCAGCTGTTCCCATAATGTGATCTCCAGTTCAGATAATTCAGTTTTCTGCTTATTAGCCAATAGTGTTAATCTTGGAGCTGACTGTCTACTCTTATCTCATTGATTTTCTTCTTCTCTTGTGAATTCAGGTGCTGCGGCATTAGTGTATCCCCAGATAGATGCACCAGCACAGTAGAGGAGTACGAGAGCGGAACTTCTGACAACGTTGAAATTCATCTCTTCGGCAACCAAAAGCATTTAAGCACTGTTGCCCCTGATACTGTGACATGAGAATTGTCTCATAGTTTCTGAAAATTCTGCAACTCTTCTGTAATGGTGGATAGATTTGATGCGGTCTACTGACCGGAAGCGTTCTGAGATAACCTTTCAGTTTGAGGACATAAAACAGCTGAAAGCGTTATATATGTGGAAGTAATGGTGAACGGTTCTGCAAAGTAACATTGGTTGTAATTACCATCATCATCTTTGTTGGGTGATGGACTGATGACAAGAATAGATGTGGCTGATTTTGTTTTTGGCCCGTACCTTGATCCTGACACATCAAAACAGTAGAATACATGTTAACTGAGTTGAGCTTTTAGTCATGGACTGAAAATCTTGCGGCGCCAACGGGTGTCGGGACTACAGGAGTCATGGACTGAAAATCGTGTGGCGCCAACGGGGTGTCGGGATTACAGCATCTGCCTGGAGGATGAAACATCTAATCCTGCGGCCGGCCATGCTGTGGAAATGCCTAGCGCCACGCATTCCACCACAAGTGCATCACCAAGTGGTTCAGCCGGAGATCCACCTGCCTCGATGTGCCGACGAGATTTGTCTATGTATCTTGACCAAGCAGTGCAGAGATTCCTTTCGCACTTCACCGAAGAGGATTATTGATTAAGCTCATTGTTTTATGTTGTATAAAATACTTATTACACATCATACTCCTCTATATATATTTGGTCAAAATTCAGAATCTTTGACTAAGTCTCTGCTCCGTCGCTCTAACCACCGCGATCTTGTCCGCAACTCCGCTTGCTTTATTTCCTACCTTCTCGGAGCTCTCGCATTCCCTCCGCAGATCTAAACCGCGAGGAATGTGCGGTTGCCTTCTCGTACATGTGCTCAACACATAAAATACATGGCTTCATGCCATCGTGCCGACACCCAAGGCAACAAAAAATAAATGTAAATCAACTCGAGGAAACTTCATCCACTACAACATCTTCACTCGTCCGAGGCGTTCAAAAAAACGGTAGGCGGACTTTCTTGCTTGTTCAGTAACATTTCAACACCAATGACTCTTATTTTCTGCATTAGATTAATGCCAGACTTGCTCCTCGGTTCAAGGTTCTAGAAAATTTAACAAAGTTTGACACAGACATGCAAATAACACAACATACTATATTAGCAAGGGTTCCTACTACATGAGCTCAACACATACACTACATGACTTTGTGCTATCCCACAAATCAAAGTCAGTCATGGCTGCTACTACTACTACTACTAGTAATACTGATACAGGACAACGAATGCACTCGTGAGCACACAAAATCTCATTATCGTCGAATCGGTTTGGTCTTGTTCAGATAGTTGAGGTCATAAGGACTTCCGATCAAGTTGAGACGGTGAACCATCTTGAAAATGATGCGGTCTCCACTATGTCGACACTGTAGTCAGAGAGCCGATGGGCATCCACATAGTGCTGCAAAGCATAAATATTTCTCCAGAATCATGGTCTTCAACAACTCTGGTAATATGTTGTTGCCCAACAACCGCACGAACAACAGCTTCAACGATTAGGCATTGCGCAGCTCGGTCATGTACACGACGCCCCAAGTCACAAGCAACCTGCTCTGTTCTCCTGGCTCCACACCTAGCAGTGAATGCGGCAGGAAAGCTAGACACAATGAGGAATCGAGAAAAAGAGCTTTTGACCACCATGACACGCTTGAGACTTGAATGCTTAGTGCGGTTGTGATGGGTCTTTTCTTTACTTTTTTTTCTCCAATCCAAGCAGTCACAACAGTCGAGGGACAGATTGGTTGCTATGACATTCAAAACTGACGACCCTTTATACTGTGTCCTACGAGATCAAATATACAGCGGCCGGACTTTCTTGTGTCTGCAGTAAAATTCAACAGCTATGTCGTTATGCATTAGATCTAAGGCGATACTTGTTGAGATGAACTCCTTGATGCATGGTTCTTGCAAGTTCAACAAATTTTATCAAAGACTACTGATACGTGTTTGGTTCTTGCAAGATCAAAGCCACTCATGACTATTAGTACTACTGATACTTGTTTGGTTCAACAAACCAAGGCACAAAGCAACCCTTGCACGGTTGTGATGAGTGAATTGAATGCATGACGAAAGCCTCTGTAGTTATTTCACTCCAAGCATTCATAGCAGTTGAGGGACAGATTGAAGAGTGAAGACGAGTTGCTCTTGCTTCCGTAAGCAATTTCTCTTGCTTGGTTTTGCAGAGCAGCAGCTAGCTAGAGATGGCTACATGGTTTCATAGGTCCTAATTGTCAGTACTCACTCAGCTGTGGCTGCAGATGCCGCTTCAAATCCAACTACCTTACTAGTATTTCATGCATGCAGCCACAACTGGTGCAGCTGTTCTTTGCAGCACAACCGATTTGGCAAAAGTTCTAGTCATAGCTCAGTAGCAGAGTAAAATGTCTGGGCTGGTCAAATTTACACGACTCGGACAATGAGGCGTGCATACGATTTACAAGAAATAGGTAAATGTCATTTCGTCAATATTGTACTTGTCTATATATATTTGGTCAATAGAGTTTAACCCACCTAATACAAAGTTCAACAAAAGTCTATTTACATGGATATTATTACAACAAGATAAACTAAAGAACATCACAATTGTCTCCAGTGAACATTGAAAACACAAATCAGAACATCAGTGTTGTGAGATACTAAACATTAACATCATCTGACCATGTTGCTACTGCTCAGTTGAGAGGAACTGCATGAACTCCACCAATCTATGGATCATTCGGACGAATTGTAAGATAACGGATATAATAAGAAAATACTTCTGCACCACAAAACTCATAGCGCTATGAAAGAAAAGTTTGGAGATCTCGCATTTGAACAAACCGCAAAGAAACACATAGGGTCCTAGATGATCCTCGAAGAAGACGGTAGTTTCAATGGCCAAGAACTTGATGAACAACTACATGTAAGCAATGTACCACCCATCGTAAAAGTTAGAATGCACGCAAGCACTATAACCCTTGTTTGTAGGCCATGGCAAACACGAAGCTCATGGAAGACAAATGATACACGACATGTCCCAAGAATGATCATAGTTATCCATGATCTGTGTAAACATGAAAACAATATGCAAAAGAAACGAAGAACAAAGATGCCCGGTAGTAGGGAGGAGGGCAAAAGCTTTGGGATGGAACTGAAGCAGGAGCTCTAGAGAGCCTTCCTCTCGCCCCTTGTCTCAAGTTGTTATATAGTTCGTGGGTCGTGGACCACCCCATGACCCATGCCATGTGGCAAGGCTACTTGCCACGACCCACATATATGGCGCAAGAGTTGACACGATCTCAGTATTTTGTTGTTTCATCAAAACTATGATCCGGCATGTCAAGATTTCTTTAGTATCGCATCGTCTTAGGCCCTGTTTAGATGGATCATGACTAGTTAGCCATAGCTAAAAAAAATAGCCAACTAAGAATCAGCCAATTAGTTGTGTTATTAGTCCTTACTGCTTGTATCCTCAACTAATTGTTGGGCTCTATAGATTAGAACTAGTTGTTAGCCCCTCGGTAATCGGGTTCTATGGACTACTTGGATGGCCCCCAGATTTCGTAGTGATCCGGACCGTCTATATTTTGTAGGGCCTGACCGTCTTAGGGTCCGAAAAATTTCAACATCTATACACCCACGCCTCCGATCGTAAAAGGGCAAACACCGTTAGTATAACCAGTTACTAAATGACTAAAGGACCTGAACTACACAACGCTCAACAGAGTTTAATCGACCTAATACAAAGTTCAACAAAAGTTAATAGACATGCATGCGAATAAGACTTCGCATACGGTCGTCCCACAGACCAAGCCTAGTCATGACTTGTACTACTAACACGTCCCATAGATCAAGGGTCGAGGCGGGCGTGCATGATGTTGTCGTCCACATTCACTTTCGCTAAGATGGCGTTGGTGACCGGCTCGAGGCTCACGAACAATGGGGACATACTCGAGTGATGGAAAGTACAGCACCGATTGCGACTCCAGCGAGGAGGAGGATCCGGAGTACTGGCGAGTCAGCAAATCTCAAGAGCGCTAGCCAGGAGGAGGATGCTTTAATTTTTTTCTCTTCTCTAGAAACTCAAAGCACCTTAGAATCCATGACTACTTTTTCCAGGGTGGGAAATCCATGGGGATACTATTTGAATAACCCATTTAGTTTTTTTGGAGGGTTTTCCATCCCTTAGACCTTAGTTCAAACAGTCGCAGATGCAGTCACACACAAAAAAATCGTCAGTTGCAGCGAGTAGGTTTATTTTTTCTTTTTTTCGATAATCTTTAGGTGTCAAATTCATGGATCTTTTAATTGTTTATTATCATTCTCTTTTAGTTTTATATTTATTTATATTATGAAAAAACCAAAAAAGGCAACAACTAAGGCCGCCCAAAATTCCGGTCTCTGCTAAGCAGACGGGGCGGTATGCCTGCCCGAAAATTTGATTTCGCACCGCGCCGAGCAGTCTGGCCAACACGCACCAAAAATTAGATGTCTCTCTTTTGCCCTCTGCGCGGAAAATAGGTTTACCACGCCATTGATTTTAGACAAGGGCATTTGTGGTAATGTGATGGCCACATAAAAGCGCAAAGAGTCGCCGTCTCTGTCTCCATCTCCATTCTCCAGCCGCACCGTCTCTCCTCCAGCTCCAAATCCTAATCCCATGGCCTCCCTTTCCACTCTCCAGCCACCCCCTCTGCCAACCCGCTCCTGAACATAGGCGTCATCGGAACAGCAGCTCGACTCCCTCTCAACTCTCTAGCCACACCCCTCTCATACATTTCTGAACCATAGCCGGAGCCGAATCCCCTTCGATTCGTCGACAGCAGGTCGATCAACTGACGATGGAAGGACTGCCTCGACGATGGTACAAGCCGGATCTAGATCCCCTACCTAGCTCGGCACCTATCACGATCGACCGAATCTGATCCCTAGCCGGAGCCAGATCTGGTACCCCTTCGTCAACGCCGGCCACACCACCTCTCACCGCATGATGATGATGTAATGAG